TATTCCTTCCATCTTCTTTTGATGTTTCCTGTGTTGTTCAATATTTTGCCCATAGAATCCTTTAATATTGCAACTGGGGGCTTGATTTTTTTTACTCAGTTCTTCCAGCTTGAGAAATGCTGAGCGTGTTCTTCCCTTTTGATTTTCTAACTCCAGGTTTTTGCACATTTCTTTATAATACTTTACTTAGTCTTCTCAAGCTGTGCTTTGAAATCTTCTGTTCAGTTCTTCATCATTTTTCCCTTCACTTTAGCTACTCTACGTTCAAGAGCAAATTTCAGTTTCTTCTGATATGCATTTTGGTCTTTTCTTTCTTTTTTGTCTTTTTAATGACCTTTCGCTTTTTTCATGTATGATGTCCTTGATGCCATTCCACAACTTGTCGGGTCTTCAGTCATTAGTGTTCAATGCATCAAGTCTGTTCTTGATATGGTCTCTAAATTCAGGTGGGATATACTCAAGATTGTACTTTGGTTCTTGTGGACTTGTTTTAATTTTCTTCAGCTTCAACATGAACTTGGATATGAGCAATTGATGGTCTGTTCCACAGCTGGCCCTTGGCTTTGTTCTGACTGATGATATTGAACTTTTCCATCGTTTCTTTCCACAGATGTAGTCGATTTGATTGCTGTGTATTCCATCTGGCGAGGTCCATGTGTATAGTTGCCGTTTGTGTTGTTGAGAAAAGGTATTTCCAATGAATAGTTCGTTGGTCTTGTGCAAAATTTTATCATGTGATCTCTAGTGTTGTTTCTCTCACCAAGGCCATATTTTCCAACTACTAATTCTTCGTTTCCAACTTTCGCATTCTAATCGCCAATAATTGTCGACGCATCTTGATTGCACGTTTGATCAATTTTAGACTGCAGAAGTGGTGAAAATCTTCAATTTCTTCATTTGGGTATTGGCAGTTGGTGCGTAATTTGAATAATAGTGAATAATAGTTGTATTAACTGGTCTTCCTTGTAGGCATATGGATATTATCCTATCACTGGCAGTGTTGTACTTCAGCACAGATCTTCAGGATAGACAATGAATGCAACACCGTTTCTCTTCAATTTGTCATTCCCGGCATAGCAGACCACATGATTGTTTGAATAACAATGCCAACACCAGTCCATTTCAGCACACGAATACCTAGGATATTGATCTTTACCCGTTCCATTTCATTTTTGACAACTTCCACATCAGCAAATGAATGTCCTGAAAGCTTTACTGCATCCACATCATTAGGGTCGACTCTGTTTTGAGGAGCC